CAGGGAGCCGTGAAATTTAGAGAATCGGTGAATAGAAACGGACAAGTTGGCAGCATGCCTAGCCCGGGCCCAGCAGGGATCATTAGGGTAAGATTGAAGATTACAATGGAGTAAATTGTGAAGACGCACGAGGGACGCCTGGCTATGGAAACTATTTATACGAAGCGACCCTTGTCTTTTGGTTATCCGAGCCGGGAAGAAGCGTCGCTGCGTTTAGCAGTGTTTGTTATACCGCTAATTAAACGCAGATCTGTGTTTCCCGAATCTACGTTACCGTCGAACCGAAGTCTCGGTAAAAAGCTTCGAATCCCCGCAGTCACGGAGAGCGGAGAAATATCCCCGAGAAAAACAGCGGATACAGTAATGAACCGAATGAATTAATTCGCGTAATTTCCGTGCGTGTCCAACTTGGACGGCTTTGAAGTTTCCCCTACGGCCGACGAAAACCAGACTTCTCCGGCGTGTTTGTCGGCGTTCGCGCGACAGAGGCGGTCCAGCGAGAGGAATCTGGCATTCGCGACTACCATTTCGGTGCAACGTCGGACAGAACTGGGGGTAGAGGAAAGAGACATATCCGCATCGGGGGTTCGTGAACACGATTCTTGGAGTCGCTCGTGCGGAACAGATATCCAGTCTCCGAAATCAGCCTCGTTACGAGATATATGAACGCCGGAGAGTCAGAAAGAACGAGAAAGAGGGAGAGAGAAAGGCAGGGAGACAAAGTGATTCGCGTGAATACATGCAAAACGGGGGCTAGTGGAGAGAGGAGAAGGAGGAGAGAAAAGAGGAAGCAAAGCGGAATGGTGGGTGGAGGTAATCGATATGCAGAGTTTTCCCAATAAGACTGGAAAGGAGCTATTTTATTTCCGGTCGCTGGATCGCTAGCACTCGGTCTTTTCACGGTAAACTACTACGTACAGAGACGTGTTGGAGAAGGAAAAGGTATTCGAAGAGAGAGGAGGGTGACAAACGAACGAAGAGCAGACGGAGCAACAGAGAAAAGAGCGTGTCTTTTTTCTCCGGTAGCCTCGCCGGTGTCCCCGTAGCGACAAGGCAGTTCCGTATGCAAAAGTTAGAACGTGCGCCGCAATCTGAACGAAATCTCGAAACGCAATTTCCTGGACGGCCGACCGAACGGACGCCGCGATGCGCGCTCCCTGCCCGCTGTATCACCGATGGAACATCGATCTTTTGCCCACCAATGCCACTCTAATGACGCGTTCATGCATCCGCTGACTCCTATTTTCCTCCTTTTTCTTCCTGCATTCTGTTAGAAATTGCTCGTTTGTTTCCAAGATATACGTACTCCTACGTAGCTAAAAAAATATCTACCCAGTTGACTCGTTTTCAGTATTAAAATTGCGTTTGGCTGCAACGTATTCGAGTTACTCGGCTACCGTGGAACTGAAACGCACCTCCCCAAAGTCGTGATTAGTCTCTCGAGACAATTGTACAATTCGTAGCGTTTGCCAGGCTGCAATCGATATGGCTTGTGACTGAGGAATCAGCGTGGTTCGTTTGAATCTAATCGAAGATATCGGTGCAGGCATAAATGCATCTTATCAGAGTTCATCAACCCGGTGTTGCGTTAGTTTCTGTCAGACTGGTGGTTTCGAGGGAGAGAGAGAGAGAGAAGATGAGCGCGGTAGCATGGTGGTTCATTGAACCAGATCGGTTAATGTGGGTCGTCGTAATTCTAGACCCGCCGTCTATTTTCCGGCTGAAGCTGTCCATCAGATAATTCTGACGAGGCTATTGTTCGGCCCGGGAGAAGATTTCATTCGTTACGTAACGTTAACCCATTCCAGCGGGTTAGCTCGCCTCTAGAACAACCGTCTATTCTCGTCTAACTACTCTTTATTCTATTCTTCGATAGACCATCGACCCCGTGCAATTTCGTAACATTCTAATGCAACGTGAGAATCCTTCGTTCTCGTCCCACGTTTTAAACACGCTTCTTTATGCTCTGTTTTTCAGGTGAAGGTTATGCTGAAAGTGTCGCCGGGAGATGGTGGAAGCTTCTTCAACGCGGACAAGAGGAAGAAGCAGGTGACACTGGTGGATCCAACGTCTGGACAGTCCTCTTCGTCGGACGATCGCAGGCCGACCGTGGCTGCGCCGAAAATGTTTGCCTTCGACGCGATATTTACCGAGGAGGACTCTCAGGTAAGCTAGCTCCCCTCTTTTGTGTACGATTCCCTGGATGATTCGGAAACGGCGATTTTTATCGCGGGACGCGCGAGTATGGAGATCGTTCGAGAGAATAGAGAATCGTTTTTCCACCGCTACAAAGACGCGCCACGTTGATAAATAGGGAAATAGAGGAATCTCTCGGAGGAAGTTGAAGGGGGAGTAGTGGAAGCACGATGGAAGAGCGAGAGGAGTCGGAACGTTGAAACGTCTACGTGCTTCGTCGTCGACTTGCGTTCATCCTAGAGACGCAGGAGACGTCCCTGCCAGGCGCATAACTAAACTAATTTCCCGACCTTTAAACTCCACCTCCCGACAGGAAAATCCTCGCTCTCGCTCCGCGTTCTGTCAACACCCTCCGGCTAACGTTGCTTCTTGCCTATGACTTCTCGCTCGTACACGCGAGGAAATCGAATCGAACGCTCGATAGTCCTGATTATTTTCCAATTTGCATACTCGAATCGTTCTTTCGAAGGACCACCTTGCCGTTCTTTCTCCGATTATCCCGGGCTAGCCTCCGGTTCATACTAAATTCTCGTTCCACGTACAAATCTGGAACGAAACGATAAATTCTTTCTCGTTCTATCAGCATCGATATTCCGCAGAGACAAATGAACGAGTAGATTCGTATCGATCAACGTCTCCCATAGGCCAAAGTAATCCCGAAGAAGCAGTTCTACCTGTTCGATTCCCTTTTCTCGGCCGCGTGTAGCCGCCGCGAATTTTATTGCCACTGGCATTGATGAACGACATCGCCGCCGAGCCGCGGCAAATGCCATCGGGGAGAACAGCGATGGCGCGCGCGTTACAATATCGCGGCATGCATGTGTATACGTGCACCGAGATATTTCGGTGCTCTCCGGGGACATTATCGAGCGTTGGATTCAAATGAGCCCGGAGCTACTCGGTTTTCCCTGCCGTTCCCCTCACCGCCATCCCGAGATCCCACACTCTCTCTCTCTCTGCTAGCCAGCCTCTCTATCCCACGGCTGGCTGTACCGGCCCTCTCTCCAGGGACTAGCCCTTCGTTTCCCCGCGTTTCTCTGGCCCTTTGACGCAACCGCCCACACACGCCTCCTCTCCCCACACCGCCGTGGCTGTGTTTAGAAGAACGACGGGAAAGCAATCGATTGATTCGATCAAATGTCCGCGCGTCCGTCGCGACGATTGTCATCGAAAGTCACAATGGCTCTCTGCTCTACCGGTTTCCTCCTTTCACCGCTACCTTTCTTCTCTTTTTTTCTCTATTTTTTATCAGCCTTTCGGCCCTACCCCGGGTAGGGTTTGAAACGCGTTTCCTACGAACCGGAGCAAGTTCGGCGCCGATCGCGGAAAAGAGGGAAAACTCGCAGAGAGAATGTGTGCCCTCTCTACCCACTGTCCTATGGGGGTTGGTTCGTCCTTTTCCACGACCAGCCGTCAAACGCAGAACCGCGTGAATATTTTAGAGGCGGCGTCCACCGATCCTGCACCGAAAGTGGTTCATCTTTAACCAGGCTCTTCGCCATCCCCTTTCCATTTCTGTGGAGGGAATGGCGACTGGACGATCGTCTGGTTCGCCCAATTCTTTCCACGGTGAACGTTTCGCGACCTGTTCGGAGAAGTTAGTTCTCTTGTTCGTTTCGGAGATCTGTTACGGGGTAATCGTTCGAAATGTAATCTAGCTGTACCGCAATTCCCGTCTCTCGATAATCTTCGGCAAGCGGTTACCTTTGCTACCTGTGCCCGCAAATACGCGAACCGCGAATACCCGGCCGCTGTATGCGGAGGAGCGTCCCAATATGACGCGCAAACAGACCACGCTTGATTATGGGTCAATCGTAAATTAACGTTCTCGATGGGGGTCCATCGGTCGTTTATTGCGGCCACACGAAATCCCTCCTGCACTTGTTAAAAAACGCTCGCGAGAAATTCTGAAGAAAAAGAATGTTACGTTCACGACGAAAGGTGAAAAGAAGGAGGATAACGTTGATCCCTTCTGACAGACGTAACTCTGTAATTTTTATTACGATCACTTTGGTACAGAGTTGGAAGTTTCTCAGAGAACAGTGGCGTTATCGGAAGTTCCGTTCGCGGGAGAAAATTTTCGACGGCTCGAGGGTGAAGTGTCTCGTCGGGAGGAGTTCCACGAGGGAAAGGAAATTTACCAGGGACTGACGTTACGTCGACTAACCGTCGGCCAAATCCTCGATAAGTTCGTAATATCTCTAGCTGTCAGGGCCATTCATCCCCGCGTGTTGCAGCCATTACGTAAGAATAGACACGTACAGGTTGCCTACGGCGTATCTTCACGCTCGCTCCAAGTTTATTTCCGCGGTGCCCGGGGAGAGCCGAAGGAAAAGACTTGGAAGGGAAATGTTTTTGAAGTTCCAATTCCGTTCGATACTCTTCCCACGTGCCTCGTTTTCAGGCGTCGTTACGCGAGCACACGCGGATGTGTGGTGCGGCTCACAAGGGCGGCAATTTGCCAAGTACAGACTTCCGGGTCGTGTTGCTTTCGCGGTGGTAGCGCCTCTTCGGGAAAACGGTATTCTCCGCGAATTAGAATTTGAAAAGATTCGAAAGGATCCGTCAGAAGTAAAAGGAGAGAAAAACTTTATTGTCTTTCGCGTTATAAGTCAAGAAAATCTCGCGGCATCGCAGACAGCGTGCTTATCCATCAACGGAGAGAGGACTACTTAGAGAAGCTCTCGATCTCAGGTGTCTGGAGCGATGTCGAAGAAAAGGATGCGAAGTATGCTCGAGCAGGAACACCCTCGAGTTCGGTGTGCAAATGAAACCTGACCAAATTAATTGAACATCCATCTCAATTACGTCGGGGGCCTTGGTAGGTGAATACGCCGCGCCGGGGCTAGACGCGTTTCCCGATTTCGAGATCTTATACGTGTGTGTGCGTCGCCATATATCGCCGCTGGCCGGCGACAATTCTATCCCCGCGGACGGTCCGTACAGGACAATGCATACTGGACAGAATAATTCACCGGAGCCATTATGGTCGGTCCAGGGACAAGGGCTTTATTATTGACTTACGACTAATAGTCACGCTGTGTACGATGCGGTACGCGCTTGCGTACACTCTCTACCTCTCTTTCTCTTTCCACCTGGACAGAGTCTGTCTGATTTCCCTCTCCCCGTGCATTTTACTTTCCCCGTCTGTGCATTGAACAGCAGGCTTCGATCTATTGCTCATTTCCCGGCGAATACTAATCGAATGGGCCGCGCCGAAACGCCTGGAAATTCACGGTGCCGCGGTTTCTTGTTCTCGTCTGCGGCTTTCCGCGTGTCCCTAAGAAAATGGATCGTTCGTGCGCCTCCCCGCCTAGCAGACAGGATTAGCCGATCCCGAAGCGTATCGACGAACCTGGATTCTTATTAACTCGTCGAGGCGGACGCCGACGAATTCTTATTAAGAGGAAAGAATCCGCCGATACCTTCGCTGCTCTCCTCTAATTTGCGGCTCGGGATTCGATTATGGAGATTACCGAAAAATTATCTCTTCCATCCGTGGATTAAACTGGAGGGTGTGTTTGTGGCCTGGCTACCTCAGGGGTAGCTTCTCCGTATTTCTCCGTTTCAGCCGGAGCGAACCTTGCGAAAACTACTTTACGAAGATAAAGTTTACGTCAACGTGGGACGCACCAGTATCACTTCAAACGCTCCAGCACTCGACGAACTTGGTTAATTCGTTCTTTTTTTTCTCTTTCCATACGGCTGGGCGAGCCACAAAGCAGACGCATCGTGTTTCGATTCATCAGAATTCGTCCGCCGCGCCGTCACAATCAGGCTTCCAATTATTCCTAGATCCGCAGCCAGCCAGCGTTCCTGTTGCTGTGCTTCTCTTTGAAAATCCAGCGTGCAATCGATGCACACTTGGACGACTCGAGGAAAAAACGTCCGTGCTTAACCCTCTCTCGATCGGGTCCAGATCTGTCCAATGAATAAGCGGCGACGCGATAGGGGCACGATAACGGCGTTCTAACCGTATAGGAGCCATGCTAATCTGTAAACCAATCATACGGGTCTATGGAAGGACGGCATCCACCCCAATTGGCCGCTTCTATATTCCTTGTTCTGGCTGTCGGTGTCCGAGTCCGTCCGTGCTGATCTTCGCGTAGTCCAAGCGAACGAGGCATTTCCATATTACAGTAAGATTAATTCGGGCCACGAGCCAGGCTTCAGGAAGCGCTGATGAAGTTTGGCAGGTGTCCGACGCGCGTCAGCCGCCTCGAAAGCGAGACGTCGCTCTCTCTGTCTGCACCGCCAGCTTCCCATCCTTTCCTGGCTTCGTTCGTGCACGCGCTCTCGAAATCGTTAGGAAGTTGCACCGACCAGGGGATAGGGAACAAAAGAACACACGATTTTCCCCGTTTATCCGGGCACGGACGATTTTTGCCCAACCTCCACGCGAAACTCTTTTAATTATTTTTAACAACCGCTGTTTCAAGCGTCTGCAAAATTGGCGTAAAAAAAAAGAAGCACCGAGCGTAGCAAGAGGGAGGATTCGCCAGGATAGGGTTACTAACGATTTCGATTTTACATCGCTCGAACCAAGCGTTGGATTTCACCGATCAGCCCATCCAGCAGCCGCTACTGTCAGAGCGCACGCGTGCATCTCTCCTGTTGTGCTAGGGTGGCCTGGTGGTGGCCGCTTTTTGAACGAGGGTGCCCTTTTCGTTCTTTCGCTCCCCAGGCGCCAATGACGCCAATCTCTCGTGTAAATCGCGACATATTTCACCAGACTACTGCCCCGGTCGGCCAGTCCTCGTGCTTTTTCCTTCTCAAGAGCCTGTGATCGGTCTTACCGCGTTTCTATCTCGACGAGGCAGGGGGATGAAAAGTTGTTCGGTTGTTATCCGGAGAGTTATCGCGGCGCTTCCTGTCAAAGTCAACGAGCTGAAAATTCCTCGTTCAGTTCACACAGAGCGCGGAGTCTTGACGATTCAATTGTATCCAAAGATTGCATACGTTCAAGAGTATAGCCTCCAGCAATAATCCAACGATAGATTTTCACTCGCGATTTCTCGTTTCGTGCCCGTGAACGAGCTTTGTTCGCTGGAACGTCCCGTCGAATTCCGCTGGAATATTCCACATCGGGGCATCGGGCAGAACCCACTGGACAGGGTAGGAATAGTTTCGGCCACGGAAGCGCTTGGCCGAGCTCATCCGATCGAATCGGAATTTATTTATAAGCGAATAAGTCGACGAACGAATTCGCGGTGCGGTGAACAAAAACCGGATGTCACGCATATGGCGACGCAATTTTCAGAATTATCGGCTCGTGAACAAAAGCCGCACGCATCGCCGCTCGTAGACACGAGGCGAAACGAGGGCGACAAGCACCCCCTCAGGCCTGTTTGTTTTTGATACGGTTTTCATCGAACGATACCGCCGCGGTGCTTCTACGCGCCACCTGCGTCTACATGCAAATGCAACAGCCGCTTTCCCACTTTCCTTCCAAACCGTATCACCGCCTTTTTTCCTCCAAGGCAATCACCCGGCATAGAATTATCGTAACCGGACCAGTTACGCGTGTTCACCGATTGTACGACGCTACGCATGGCTTGTGTTCAACTTATTACTGCAATAGGAACCGTGAAGCACTCTCTGTTCTATCTCATCTTCGGTCTGCACTTTCTTCCTACTTTTACGATAAAGAAGGAACAAAATTACTTCTTCACCCTTTTCCAACGATAACTGTCTACGGTAGAAAATAGAGAGCTGTCAGGGTGTCTAATCGGGAAGAACTTCGATTGGCCGTTCTCGAACGTCATAATCGACAAACCCGGTTCACGCAACGCTCGTGCAATTAACGGGATAATAATTCGCGTAGACAGATATTATTTGCGGGACACAGTCGCACATCATGGCCTGATAATTCGCATTCAACGCGATTTTCCGTCAGCCGGACTAACTTCATTAACGTCCGCCTCAATCACCGATCCGACAAAGTTTATCCTGCGTTAATCATAATCCACATTCGCGCCGATTCCTCCTGTAAACATACTCGTCCATTTCCACCCACCGATCTACTTTGAATTTCTCACGTCGAATCTTAAAGCGAAAGAGCAGCTCGTTTAAAAGCAATCTCCCGAGGAATTGACGGAACCGCCGGAGGTTTAAGAAAATGCAGCCAGCCGCGACACCTGTTTCGTTCGAACCTCGACGCACCAGGCGCGGGCATCTGCAAACTTGCGAATTAAGAGGGGTCATTCGATTATTTCCAGCCCTTAAAAGGGTCCCGGCGTTCCCCGTTCGCAGTGGCACAGCCCATCATCGCGGACGACGCTCCTTTTCGCCGTAACTTCTTTCCGAACTTTCTTACACGAGTTTTACATTTCGCCGAGAAGGGTGATCCGGGGTTGAAAGAGTGCGAGAAAGAGGGGAAACGGCGGAGAAGCATGGCTGGAAGTTCCTCCACGACGAGGAAGAAGCTTGTCTTGGGCCCCACGAGCATCGGCAAACCCCGTCCCATTTCGTCCCTTCGTCGACGGAGTCATTGGTATTCCACACGGTGGTGCCAATATTGCGTTACTAGTACGCGTGCTGAAAGCGGAATCGACGCGTCGCGACTCAGGCCACGATGACACCGCTTGTAAGTCACACCGCGACGCCTTCTATTCCCTTTTAATTTACACTCGCCGAAATTAATGTTCGTCCCCCGTCCTTCCTACGACTTCTAATAGAGACGCCAAGGCTTTCTTGGCCGATTCTTTTCAATTGTGAGTTTCTTCCGTGACGGTGGTGGTGGAGAAGTTTCTCGAACGGAGGCTGGAGAGAATTGAAGCGAAGCGGTTGATAATGTGTTCCGGGTTTAATTTTTTGGTCCGTTCTCTTAAGCGCTCCCTGGATAGACCACGGGCGATCCTGTCGCCTTATTCTTAGCGAGGGGGATTTCCATGGGAATTTTTTTACGAGGATCGTCGCAAAGTTGTATGGCTTCGGGGCCCCTCGAGAGGGATCCTCAACGGAGACGGCTAGAAAAGAGCTGTCTGACGACGGGCTTGGGATTATAATTATGCCACGTTTTCACGTGTTCCTGCTAAGTTGTTCCGTCGCAGTATAAACGTAGCTCTGTAAAATTATTCGACAGATAGGTATAGGTACGACAAGAGGACGTGTTGGAAATTTTCAGCAAGCAATAAATCCCCCTCGCCATGCGTCATCCCCCGTGGAAACGAAATCGAACCGATCCCACGAACAATAAAAAGGAATTCGAATCGGACGCATTATCAAGCTACACGAGCACGAGCAACGGCCGCCGAGGGGATGTTTTCCGCGCGCCACGAACGACGAGCCCCCTCGTTCCTCTCAATTCCGAGCGGGATCGCGGAATCAAGTGTTTGAGATTATGACGGAGGCTTCGGTCACGTATTTCATTAACCGTGAGGCAGCAGCCTGCCTACGAAAGCGAGAGTGAGAGGGTGGAGGGACTAGGGAATCTCTCGAGGGTGCAGGTAGCCGCGAAATATGTTTGCTTTGCGTTACATCCCTCCCCTGGACGGACGATCCTGTTATAATTATGAATGTCCTTGTTGTCCCGCAGACCTCTCCTTCGCCTCTTTCCACCCTCCCTTTCCTTCCTTTGCCACCCGTTAATCTCCCCGTCGGGGATTTCGTCGCGCGTCTTCCCCACTTTTCCTGAATCGCCGCGCGATTAAAGCGGATAAGTCGTCGATCGCGTTGATCGAAATTCACCTCCACGCTGCTTTACACAGCCTTCCTGTATATACGTATGTACATAGAGAGAAGGAGATTCCTTCTTCTTTTCCTTCGTGGAACGTCGGCGTGCTTTGAAACGAGCAACGACAGATTGGAATTACTACATCGAAAAAGGGACTGGACTCCTTATTTCCGATAGTAGAGTAAGAAAGAAAAAGAGAACGCAGCCTAAAGGGTTTCCTCTATCCAAATCGCTCTTCGTGTACGATTCTTCTCTCGCACGTTACATCTCTCCGCTGGTTTCTACTTTCTCTCTCCTTTCCACCCTCCTCTGCACTCGCCACCAAGCTTTCATCTCCCCTTTTTCCATCTCGGGCCTCGAGATTCATCCGATTCTCGTCCACGAAGATTTCAATCTTGTTTGGTCGAGGTATCGACACGTCCTCATCTTCCTCTCGATATTCCCGACAACCTGCTCCCCTTTCCTACATGTGTTCCTCTCTCTCTCTCTTCCCTACATCTTCCTCGAACCCTCATCCCTTCCGGCCACGGAACGTTTGCTAATCCTTGCGAGAGTAAAAAGAGAGGACGGTCGATGACTATATCGATCGGTCAGAGCGGGTCCTGTCGAGGCTCGAAGGAAATTCCCGGCTGCTTCCGCAGGAAATTCGCGGAGTCTCCGGAACGAGCTACCCTCCAATGATTCGCTGCCATCTTCCTCCCTTTCTCGCGATAATTCGCTTTCTCTTCTGCGAGGAACAGAAATCACGACGAAGCAACGAAAAGAAAATCTAACTCTCTCTCTCTTTTGCAACGATTCTGCGTTTCTCAGGTGTTAAACGAGTTGACACGCTGGCGGAAATCACGGTGTTATTATTCCACGACTATTTGCAAGCGCGAACCTCTTGCAACGAGAAGCAAACGCAGTCTGGCAAGGTAGACGGAGGAGGAAAAACGAAGGTCTGGCCGTTGTCGCGGTTCTTCTCGTCCCAGGAAAGGACTTTTCCAGTCTATGAATATATTAAAAGCAAACAAAGTCGCTCCTCTCGGTAATCTTCGCCTCTCCTTTTCTTCAGCGCCTCTCTCCTCCGACTCGCAACGCGTGCGTTTATTAAACCGTCCCACAAACGCTTTCTTAAGCACTTTAAGTTAAGCTTCGTCGTTACCCTCAAAAGTCCCGGCTGGTTTCTCCTCTCCCTGGCTCTCGGACGGCCTGCGCAACCCCCCATCACGATGAGGAGCAATTAAAATCGCGTCCATAGTGCTCGAAAGCGCCCCGCCTGTCGTCGCTAAACAACTTAACTCGAGGCCAACTTGGGACAACCAAATTGATATCAATTATCGCGGGTGCAAGTGTAAAGACACCCCCTTATAACGTTGCTGTATGTTCGAGAGTGGTGGCGCTGAATTGTCGCTGGCTCGCTGGTTGGTGGTGTGATTGAATTCGAGTGCGCACGTATTTTTAATATTTCAAAAGAAAATACTTTTGTGTGAGCGTTGGTGTGCTTATTTTATAAAAAGGGTGGATGGGTAGGTGGTCTACGCCAATTGGAACGTGACTACCCGATTGGACAGTCCTCCATGGCCCGCGAGCATGCCGCCCACGAATGGGACCTAGCTAATTAAAGCGAAATAAAAAGTCCGTGTCATAAACTCAATCCCTAACAGAGACTCCTTCGCTTTCTCGTAGAATAGAGAACGAAACTTTTCTTCTTTCACACGTACGTAATCTTTTATGTATTTATTTCAGACGGAGATTTGCTCGAGTGCCCTGACAGACGTCATCCACGCTGTTATCAACGGAACAGATGGTTGCCTGTTCTGCTTCGGACACGCTGGGTTAGGTAAGTTTATAATTTCTCTTCTCAATTCTAAATTTTCTCCCTACGAGGAGATCTCAGCGTTCAGCAGCTTGTATATAACGCGGTGCGTTAGATTCCCCTAGAATCTCGCGTAGACAAATGTTTGCTGGCACGTCGAGATGGGTAAAAAGCGGGTTAAACATTTTTCCTATTTCCGCGTGGGGTGACTGCGTGGTCTTCCACGCTGCCTTCTTCCCATCGGCCCTTTGTTCGACAAAGTTCGACGGCCGCGTAGACAAAACGTCATTGTCTACCGCTCCGTTCCGGGGCTCATCCTGGCCGAGCGTGGAAATAATTACATGAAATATGAATACCTCGAGGAATTTTCGTCGTTCTCGAGCCCTTTTACCGCCACCGGCCTCTTTAACGTTAAAGACGCGATCGTCTCCGTCGAAGGGTGAATTTCCTTCCTGCGCAGGGTAAGGAAAGATACCATATTCCAACTTTGTTCAAAAGGTGAAGAACGCGTGGAACTTGAAATACTTCGAAACACCGTGGAAAATGAAAAATTGGCTGATAGGAGATCGTAGAAAGTTTGTTTCGCCGTATCATCGCGTAGGTAAAGATTGTATAATACTCGAGCAGTCGGAAAGAGGGCTCTCCATTCATGAGGCATGTACTCGCGCCGATCTTACGAAGATCGGAGAACGGGGCTACAGACGAACCGCGAGAAACTTCAATTTCCTTTCACCGAAGAACCCGACGAAAGCCCAAGTTCTCCCTTGAGCCACTCAGCGGCGAATTAGACATTCGCCAGGTGGAACACTCCTGTCGCGACGTCGATTCTTTATTTAGACGTTTCTCTGGCCCCTCCTCACCTGCCGCGTCGCCACGTCCATTTTCACCGGCAATTTGCCGCTCGCTTTTCATCGTTCGCCAGGAAGCCGGGAGCGAGCGGGTGGAAGAGACGCGCCGCGAGTTGTTTTACATTTTAAGTAGTGATATCGAGTTTGCATGCAAATGCATGATTATGCGAGGAAACCGAGGGGAAGGACGACGAGGACGACGGAGAGTAGGGACGGATGGAGAGAAAATGGACGAGGAGGTGAAAAGAGGCGAGAACGAGGAACGAACAGATGGAGTCGAAAGGAAACGAGATAATGTATGCTACTGGGACACGCTCTCTCTTTCGTACTCGGTTCTACCTACCTTTCGAATCTTAACGCACACCGGAGATTATCTTCGCCTCGTCTCGCTGTACTTTCAACGGAAATAACTTCCGTGCTGACGGATTTATGGCCGGCACCACGTGAAGAGGCCGATTAAACCTCGTTGCCTCGTTCCTCTCGTGTATCGATTGCGAGTGTTCTACACGACTAGCGATGCGATCCGCAACTCTCGCCGTCGTCGATACAACATATTTTCTGTTGAACGAAGAAAGATGTAACTTTCGAAAATGAAAATTTTTCCCGTAACTCTATGGTTAGACGCGTAGTAACGGCGGAAGGAATTTGAATTCTCCGCGAATTCGAGCTGAGAAATCGGGCGAAATTTACCGCGAGGAAAAATCAATAAAAGAGAAGACGAGAGAGGGAGGAGAAAGGACAATGCTGGAGATAAGAGAGAGTCTAGGAGGCGGGCGAAGATAAAGAAACGCGGGAGAAGAAAGACGAAGAAGGAAGCCCGAACGAACTTTCATCCCCTTATCCCCCTCGCGCCGCGGAGATACTTGAGGCGAGTCCGCGAGCAAACTGCTTTTGATCATCGCTACGACAACGCACTTTTCTCCCTTCCTCTTCCCCTCTGTGTGTCACTCTTCTCTTCGCTCCTCCTCCTCCCCCCTTTCTTTGTAGCCAGACTCCCCTAACTCTTTACCTCGCCGCTCCCAGCTGCTTTGACACGCTGCAGCACGAAGGGAAGGAGCGTACGCATCGCGGAAACGATCCAACTTGGTGCCCGGACAATCTTGGAAAACCCGATCCTTCCATCGCGTTTTTAGCTACTTCCTGACATCAAATCGACGACACCGAGTCCATCGAGCCTCCGATCGATTCGTCGCGCAAAAACGAGGACCGTAGTCGAGGATTCGCAAGATCGGCACGGAGCAGCGACCGAAAGAAAAAGCGAGTGGAAGGACGCGGGCGGTGCATAGGACGCTTTGAAAGCAACGGGATTTGTCGTACAGAAAATTCTAAGGGGGTGAACCACGAGGAGTAGGGGTCTAGGTAGCGAGCTCCCTGCATGACAGCCAGACAATGCGGCCTTTTGTACTTTGTAACGCGGTGCTAATTACTCCGCATCAGCCGCAGCCCTTAAGGTACACGCTGTCGAACCCTTTTACCGCGAGAAACCACTGAGAAAGCAGATTAACCAACAAAACAGGAGGAGAGACCGGGCGAAGAACGCGCGAGGCTGTCCCGCGGAATCGAGCTCGGCCCCTTTGACATGCAAATACTTGGCGATAATTATACGCGCGGGGCACGATCGTTCGCGCCGCGCGTTTTACGCGGTAGCCCCGAAGAAACGTCGCCACGCAGACCCTTTCACGTGGAAATCACGGTCTCTCTTAATTATTCGGTTTCTTTTCTTCGTGGAAACTCTCTCTTTAGGATTTTGTCAGTTTTGCATTTCTCAAACTCCCCGAAGTTCGATCGAAAATGTACATGCGCACATGGAAGACGTTAGACGAAGCTAGGAGGCTTCGATTCGCGTTGCGCTGGCGTCATCGACGGTACGAAACGCGATTCTCTTTCCCGCGTGACGAGGGTGAACTCGAGGGGAGTTCTAATCGGCGGATGCATCAGCTTTAAAGCACTGGTACGCGAGTGTCGCGGTTCTCCGAAGGGAAACGGTTCTCGCCTCCTTCCGTTCCTCTCCGCCAACGGTGGAACTCTTCCACCGCGGAATTTTTCCACCTTTCCACGCTTCAATCGTCGACTCGTTGCTCGGAAACTAGCGATACACGCCTCCTGTACTCGTCAAGCTGACTTACGTTTCGCCATAGTTTTCTCTCTACCGAGAAACTATTCGACGTGGAAGAACGGCGATGCAGAGGACAGAAAAATAAAAGACAACTGGTTGTTCAACGGTTAAATGCAATTTGATCAACGAGGGTTGTTGAAATTCTCTGGAAACACAACGCAAAATGGTGCAGGGTCTCCCCTTTCTCAGAAAGGTAATCAAGACCGGTTAATCTGCGTAACGTTCTTGAATCCGACCGGAAAGTTGACTCGACGTAGAATGGCCAAGAGGAAGAACGTCACCCTTCCACGCCGGCTTTCTAATTAAATAACAACATAATTCACCGTCTTACGTTAAAACAATTAAATAACGTTTAAGATTCAGCGACGGCTGCCGGTGCTTTCCCATTATTTCACCGTAGCCGCCAGCGAGAGCAGCTCTCCTCCTCCCTCTATTTCCCACCCTCCGATTCTTACAGCTTTCGCTTTCAATTCCCGTCGCTCTCTCCTTCCGTCCGTCACTTTCTCCCGGTTCCTTTTCTCTTTTTATTTCGGCCCGAACTCTCTCGCTGTGCCGCGCCACGCCGCGCATTGTTTTACGATTTTAATAAGACTCTCTTTCATTTTCTCTATCGGCGATACCCCTTGGCTCGCGGTTCCTTCGCCTCTCGCAGTTCAATCCCCAAGTTCTCGCCCCCCGTGGATAAAGAGCGCTATTTTAGAAGGAGGAAGAATGGTGTGGCGAACTTTTTGTTACTTAGACATCGGGGAATAAGGAAAAGTTCGGCGGAGAAAGAATTAGGGTTCCGTAGCAATTATTAAAGAAGGCGCCGGAGCAAGTAGTAACGTGCCGTTGTGGTCAGACAGTCGAATAGTCGCGTTGCGTAAATTCTTGTCGGGGTTAAAGAATTGTTGCGTTCTGATGAGGACGCAACGAAGTCTCGGTTCGGCGGATTATAGTAATAAGCCACTTAGTCACATTCGGCCGCCAGACCGAGGTGCCGACGTTCGGAAGACCGCCATATACACCCCGTGGACTCACTAGCGCGACATTCAGACAATAGGTCCCAAAAACACTCGGGACCATAAAACATTCGTCACCGGGGATTGAATTTGTTTACAACAAATTCGGTCCCCCAAAAGGTCACAGTTTTCGTCGACCAATAGCCGAACACACCACATTTTCCCCCTCCATAACACAACCACCAATCAGAACCAACCTGATCCCTATATATACATCTACACACCTCAAAACAGAGCATTAACAGTACAACGAGTGCACGAGACAAATCGTCAAAAAAAAAAAACCCT